CCCCTTTCTCTCACTGGCTCTCCGTGATTTGGTTACCATGGAGAAACACATTTTTTAGGCAGAAGGAGGTTGACATTATTACATGAGCGAGATGGCACTGCTTATTCTCCACACACACACACACACACGCACATACACACACACATTTCGCCTACAGGCAGTCACCCACGCCACACTCTTCCAGGCAAGAAGGTTTCAGAAATGTCCTACATATACATACTGTACACATATCTGCACACACACAGACACATTCTCGCAGCACATCGCGCTCCACAGCGTGCAGTGAAGAGATGAACTTGAGGTGACACCAGAGTGGGCTGCCTCTGGACTGAGGGAGCTGATTGGTCGGCTAAGCTGAGGGTCTGACATCACGCTCCGGTTGGTCCAGCAGCAAGCACTGCTGCAAACACATGTGTCACACACACACTATAGGTTCGAGCTTTTGTATCTTATTTATATAAATTCCCCCACACACAGTCACACACGATTAATTCCCCCTACAATATCTCTCAGGCTGAAGGATTATATGTATTATATCCTGTGTGTGTGTGTGTGTGTGTGTGTGTGTGTGTGTTCGATAACTTCTTTATTGTTTACTACCCTCCCCCCATCTGCAGTGTAGGCTTTAAAGCACATAACAAACACATGGAGGCGTGCCATTAGAAAATGAGATGTGTTTGTAATGTCTCTCTTTGGTTTGAGAACACACTGGGCCATGAACAGTCGTCCCATGATGCGCCTTGTGCTATATCATGCCCTCATTCAAGGATTACGTTTGTGGATTAGAGCATTTCCTTCTTTCTGTTGGCAGCAACCAGCAAAGCAACCTATAGATGTTCACAGGCCATCCAGGTGCCGACTGAACCTCAATACCAGGGTTTGAGTTTCTGTACCCATACCAAAATGATATTTTACTTGAAGTTACATAACTTATTTTTTTCTAAAAAGCCCCTTTTTGATTTGAAAAAGAAGTCAAGTTCCAGTATTGTCCAATTACAACCCACTCACCAGAAAAGATGTTGGCATTGTGCATTTCTGCAAACCATGGATAGATTACATTAGTAGATTGTTATTATCATAAAGAAGAAGAAGAAGAAGATGTAGTTTATTAATCCCTGAGAGGAAATGAAATTTTCCCCTGTAGCAGATATATTGAAATTTTACAAATCAACAATGCTGTAGTTAATGTGTGGTTATGTTTAGGTACAAAAACCACTTGTTATGTTTCGGAAAAGATCATGTTCAGGCTTAAAAACAACTGCTTTTTGTGGCACTATGCCCGCAGGAAAAAGAGCTAGAAAGCACCCACGTTTATTGGCTAAAAATCATTGCATACACAGTGATGACTCACTAAAAACATCTGGTTTTGTTGGTTGTTGGTCTTGAACAGTGATCTTCCAGCTTGGCAGGTATCTCGCCTAGTTGTAACAGCATCCACTATTCTCTCCACCTCCACTGTCAGTGGTTTCCAACTGGTCCAGCCACAGGGTCCAGATTTCTCCTTAGTCATCCAGTTCAAGGTCCACATGGTTTAATATATTCAGTGTCATACTTGCATTTGGCCATGTCGTCGAGGTAGTTTGCTGTCTCTCTCAAGCTATCTCACTCTACAGCGAGAAACAGCCCTTCAAAATAAAACCTCTATGTTGGTTGTTCACTATACTTAAAAATTTACTGGATCACGACCCACCAGTTGGGAACCACTGTCATACATCACTTTAGAAACATTGATGAGATACGTATGAAACATACCAATATAATGGAACCCTGGTTTGCCGAAATGTACAATGCTAACATTTTCTTCTAGCGTCTAGGCTACTAATCGTGGGGTCTTTGTGTGATTATTTGTTTTTTGACACTTGAAAATGTAGCCAAGCTCTCAAATGTTAGATGTTGTCTAAACACATGCAGCTGCACAAGAACTTAAGTGAACAAAAAGTCTTAAATTTGCTAAATGTTAAAATCAGGATCTAATTATCTGTCTAGACGTTAAACTTTTGGTACTTAAGTTTTTAATAGTTGGTTCTACAGACACATTTCAGCTAGTGCTGTTCTAAGGTTTGATACCAGCCCTGTTTAATACTGCCAGAGTGCCATCTGAAATGGGGTGGCTGTGGCAGGAGGTAGACCAGGTCTTCCACTAATAGGAAGATTGAAGGTTCAATCTATGGCTGCCCCAGAACGTATATCTACATGTCCAACTATCCTCAGTAAGGATAAGCAAGTACACCATTATCTGTGTCTGTATCTGTTTAACCAACTAAATTATCTGTACTTGTGTCTATACTTCAAATGGGTGATGATTGGACCGGAATTGGGTGGAGTTTGAATCAGGAGTGGGTGTGGCCTAATCAGAAGTTGTTATTTTAAGCCTGATATGGATATGGATTGATCAGAATTTGCTATATTTATAATTTATCATAAAAAGTATTTACAGAACAATCTCAGAATAAAGCTTCAGGATATGTTTGATCAAAAGAGTAAGAGATTAAACACAGTTATCCAAATTAGGATTTTCCTTTGTCACAACTACAGATATTGAGACACTTTACTCTTATAGTACTCATATTGGTATAAAGTACATTATCTGTACTGGATACTCATTTAAACCAACTATTCAGCTCAACCCTTCCCCTAATCCTCAGGCAAAGTACTGAACCCAAAATTTCTCCAATGGCTGTGCCATCAATGTGTGAATGTTAAGGTAACTGAGTGCACAGGTGGCACCTTGTGTGGTAGCCTTGGCCACCAGTGTATGAATGTGTGTGTGAATGGGTGTAAAAGAGTATAAAAGAGCTTTGAGTGGTAGGAAGACTATAAAGGCACTATACAAATGCAAGTCCATTTACAACTCAGAAATGTGTCCATAAACCCAACAAAACTTACAAATATCAAAAGTTTGGATGAAATGTTAAAAAAAAGTGTTTTGTAGAAAAACATGTTAAAACTTGTCAACTCAAGGCGCCGAAAAATGTTCCATATTGGCAGCAGAATCCAATAGTTTTAATAACCCAAAGGTTAAAAATGTCTTTGGCAGTTTAAAGTTTAACAGGTATTTAGAAGTAGAAACTGATTTGACTGTTTCAGGGGTGTCATTTGTGTTTCTGTGCATTGCACTGTACATAAAGTAGCTTATATCCCATCATGCACAGGGAAAGAGGGCAGGGGGTTGGGGCATCTGGGCTTAATCTCTAACCTGTGTATTTCTGCCTGAGGGGGTTGATGGAGTAGGGGGGAGCTACACTGTAGGTTACAAGTTGTGAATTGTGAGCCGTTGTTGTCATCTGATGATGAGTTGAATAATGGTGAGGGGCTGAAAGGATTACCGGCCACTGCTAATCTGTGGCCCCTCAGCTGAGGTAAAGAGATGGGGAAAGACAGAGAGAGAGAAAGCAACTGTAGTGTGTGGCTGGGCGGCTGCCCGACAGCTGTGGGCCGTGCGGGCAGCTGATTTACTTTAGATTAGTCTGGACATGCGCCAGCTAGGATTCAATCAGGCCATGATGAATGTGCTTTGGCGCGCTGAAGGCTAACTGCTAACTGCTAAACTGACTGCTAACAGTCCATCCCCGTGGCCATCAAGGAGTAACATTTTAGGGTTTCCGGAGATCCCAGAGGGTGTTTGTTTTTTAACCTGTGCCAAGGTTCTGCAGTGGAATACCAGCAACGACTGTGTTTCCTCTTCGCTTTGGATTTATTCTTTAAAGAATAAACCGGCGGGATTATAAATACGGAGGGAGATAAATCCTGTTTTTGTGTTGTCGAAGTGAGGTGACATTCAGTAGCCATGGCTACATGTGAGTATTCAATGTTGTCTGTGGGGTTTGATTTAAAGGATGAAGGATCAAATGTTATCATGGTTACTGTACATCTTTGTGATGATGCATTACATAGAATTTTAGAGTCTGAATAATAGCAAATCATTGCCTTCAAAGATGATGCTCTGACTAGCATTGCTTCATTTTTTTCTCCTTTTAGATGAAAACAATAAGTATACACTACAATATCATTCAGACTTTCCCTTTCTCTTCTTCCACTACAGTCTCCTTTGTAGCCCTCTAAAGTCTGTCTTATTATATCCCCAACACAAGCATAACGGATCAATCTAGAAAATAATACATCTTATTAATGGTTACAGTGCAATAAGACACATAATATTCACAGCAATGGGACCACAGGGCAGGTGAAACTTGACCTCTTAAGGGAGTTCTGTAGTTTATTTTTCAAATAGCAGTTCAGAAGGTACCATAGCCTCCACCAAGCTGTGCTCACAGATAATGGATATGTTGAAACAGCACAGTGTGTCATGTCTGAGTGCTCTCTAATATTTGATTAGCTGAAGCAAAGGAAGGAGGGGAAAGCTTGTGGGGGAATACCTTTTTCTTTGTAAAGATGGCTAAGTGCTGTTTGTGTGAGCTGAAAGATGCTATAAAAGGTGTTTGTGAAAGTTGTAGACACAGGATTTTTTTTGAAGTCTAGGAGAACTGTCTGCGCCCATAGAGCTAATAATGCTGCAGTTGTTTGTTGCTGGGCTTTTTGTTCAATAAAATTTATTTGTGGTGTGTTATTTGTAATTTGTGTAGATTTTGTGTGTCACAGGCATGCCTAACCACTTCCTGTTAGGTAATCCATTTATTTAAAGGTATACCATGCAGGATTTTTGTTGCTGTTTGTAACCAGCTTGCCAGTGAAAGTTAAAGCCAACCCCAGTGTTTTACCTTTCTATATCTATGTATTTTTCTGTGCTGTGTCTCTTGGATTCTTGCTGCTTAAAGATCTGGCACCTGGTTGCCACCTTTTTATAAAGCCCCAATCTCACCTGTGCACTGTGGTGGCTACACACTTATAAATGTACCACCACACACATCTAATAGGTCATAAGTCTAAGGTCATGAGTCTATCCAATTTTTAGGAAAATCCTGCATAGCATATCTTTAATGTTTTTCCTTAATGCTTCTGAACCCAGCTTGCAAACACTTCTGTTCTTTCAACCCCTGTAGGTAATGTGGGTATGCAACCTGTGCCGTAAACAGCAGGAGATTCTTACCAAATCAGGAGAATGGTTTTCGGGGTCAGGGGTGCGGCCTGGGAGCCTGGGCACCTCCGTGAACAACCCAGCCACTGGAGGTGAGGCCCAACGGGACAGGAAGCTACTCCGCTCCAGGTCCCAAGCCCCACCCTCCGGCACCAACACCAACGCAGGGCCACCGGACGGGACGCAGCCGCCCACTGGTGTCACTTCTGCCAAGGGTGCTGACACCATGCCCGGCTCCCGCTCCCAAAGTGAACCACCTAGAGAAAAGTAAGGCATTAACATACACACATTGATCACAGCCTCTGTGATTCACCTGTACATTTTGCATTGACATGATGTGAATAGGAGAATGGGAACCATATTTTTTTAAAACCCAGAAAGCCAGGACTGCTTGTTGGCTAAAGCTCCTGTTGTTTTTTTAATCCCTTGGGTCAAAAAAAAGAATAGATCTGTGTCTGTTCTAGCTTACCCAGTGGAGCAGCTGGGTCACAGTTTTTAGTCTTGAGAGCTCTTCGATTCAATCCCTTTGTTTTCATCAAGTGGGTGATTAAGGTTAGAGTTAAGGTAAAGAGTTGCTGTTAGTAGAAGTTTTAATCTGTTTGTGTAAATGTGACGGAGGTTTTGCAAATATAGAAAGGGATGTTCTTCAAACAAATGATGCATCTGGGTGTATAACACATTTTCACTCCAAACTCATCAAAGTGATGCTTGGTCAGTGGCCCTACACGCCAAAATATGACTCGCCAGGTACCCCTCCTGCATCAGTTTGAGAGATTCAGGGAAGGTGTGTCAATTAATGCTCGTTGTATATAAGTCTTTTTCAAAATTAACTTAAAGTGTAGGTAAGTACTTGGTCAGGTTAAGAAAAAATCATCATATGTCCTCTAACACACATCACTTGCAGAGTATTCTACACATACTAGCACATTACGCTGTCATTAAAATAACACAACTGACTTTTGGTTTCACACAGGACACAACCAGCAGGCGCCTGGATGAAAGTCCAGTGTTTGTTTGACCAATCCACCTTCATTCCAACCCTCCCTGTGCAGACTTTCTCGTTCTTTATACTACATTATTTGCTTTGGGTGTCAAAAAATGCAGCCGCCCCACTGGAACTCATAACACCACTAAAGAATGCCTCTGTGCACCGATGTCAGACACCAAGGGCCTCTGACCAAACATTAGTATTTGACGAGTTGTGAATGAGATCAGGTTAATGCTTACAGTTTTGTTTGTAGACTATATTACACACTGGTATAATGAACTCTCTTGTCATACAGGAAAAGACCAGTTTCCCTCCATGAACAAAATGGTAAAGGAGGAATGGGGCGTGGTAGTGGCCGTAGACCTGGTGGGAAGTTGCCATCTCAGTCATCACTGGATGAGCGAGTGGTTCCTGGGGACAGAGGAGAGAGACGCTTAGGAGATGGACGGAGGCTGGAGAAGATCCATTCTCAGGACTACGAAGATGGGGAGGGGAACTTGGGTCGTCCAGAAACACACCGGAGACGCCCAGAGGATGAGGAGCAGAGGGAGCGCCAGCGCCGCGAGGAGGAGTTCCAGAATCGTTATCGTAGTGATCCCAACCTGGCACGATACCCGGTGAAACCACAGAAGGAGGAGCAGGAGATGCGCATGCATGCTAAGGTGTCCAAGGTCCGCCACGAACGACGACACAGTGATCTGGCTATCAACGAGGTCGGACTGGGGCCTGAAGGAGGAGGTAGTGGAAGTGGAGGGGAGGTGCCTGAAAACCGTCTGGCCAGGAGGGGTGGAGGTGGTGAGGGAGATCACAAGGCCCTCTTGGAGAACCACCGAGCCTACTCTGTGGATAGGACCGTGGGGGGTGGAGGGGGAGCTCCACCTGCAGGAGGTGGAGTGAGATCAGGACCCCAACCTGGGGGACCGGTGCCTCCAGACTGGGGCCCAAACAAAGGCCGCCTCGAGCCTGGTACAACACGGACACCAAGGGACAAGGGTGGGGATAACCTGCTGAGGAAGGACTCTCAGAGCTCGGACCAGTCGGAGTCTTTGCGTCCGCCCCCTCCACGGTCATACAAGAGCAAGCGCGGAGTCAACAAGAGGCAGATGTCCATCAGCAGCTCAGAGGAGGAAGGCGGCTCCACGCCCGAGTACACCAGCTGTGAGGACGTGGACATGGAAAGCGTCAGCGAGAAAGGTCAGTCAGACAGATGTGCTCAGTCCACTAGCTTACTGAGCTAAATCTAGCCACACTTACCTTGCACTGTTTGCCATCATCCATTCCCTCCCCTTAAAAATATTTGTTGAAGCTACTTTTAAAGTCTCTATTTTCCAACTTTCTTAAACTTGTTAATGAGCTGCTGCAGCTCTCACCTAGCTCACGTGCTCACCCTTAATCTGCACACATGATCCTTATTTTGTCTACCTGAATAAGAACCAACCTTATTTTCCAACTTTTATTTCTGCATTTGTTGTATTCTCATCATCGTTGAGAGTGCTTTCAGACTTTGCCTCTACCACCTACTGTATACTCACTGTAGTGTGGGCAGGATTAGAGTCACAGGTTTGATGGCTAATTGTAGCTGCTAATTGACGTGCAGCTAATACTCCGAGAGACAGAAAGATCCTGACTGAATGATTGGACAAATGATCAGATGCACTGTAATATTTTCCTTCTTCCCACACTTAATGACGATAGCTCCCTAGCCCCAACACTAAAATAGCCTTGTAGTAGAAATAGGATAATGTGCAAAAAAAGCAGAGAGATATTTTGACTCCGAAGATTATTCTAATACCAGCACATTCTAATTTCGGACTGTAAAACTATACGATAAGTGATAGGATGAAGCACCCACCCAGCATACAGTGAATTACGATCCCTGTGTGTCATCTACACCTCTGTGCTGTGGCTAAACCCTGCTGCTCCCAGGACAGCTCTCATTTATTTGGAGAGTCCCTGTGATTTAGGCCAGCAGATTTGTGGAATTAGGTCAGTGGCTCGCATGCTACGTAATGCTTCGCAAACAGCCAGCTGCACCAGCCAACCATGGACCACCAGCTAAAATCGAGCCCGGCTGTGATTGCATGCTGCATGGAAGCCGCTGGCTTCTCGATACCTATGTGCTTTGCGGCTCGCCGCTGTTAGAGAAGCGATGCTAGGCCGTGCTATAAGCCACGGGAGAGCGTCTAAGTTCAAGAGGCAGTAGGTAGAGTTAGCCGTGCTCTATCAGCTTATCTCTATCACCGGTCACAGAAGGGGCCTGTTCCAGATGTTTTAATCCAGATTACTATAACTCAGGGACTGGTAATGGGTAGATGGTGTGGATGGGGATTATTAGCTGTTTTAAACACTCTTTAGCTAGCTGGGCCTCAAAACAGGATGTCTCCTTTTACTCTCATCTGAGGCATGATGCAAGTTTCGCCGGATAATGTGCAGTATGTTTCCCTACATAGATGCATTAGGTTAAATGAGATGGTGACACAGGATCAAGGCTTCTTTTTCTGTTTTTAGAAGAAATGGCATTTGAGGGAATGTGGTTGCGTTGGAGCTGGTGTCATCTGATTACATGATTAAGTCTAGACGTAACAGTCTTGGCAAGAGAGGCTTTGGTGTCAGGTGATGGTCTGGATGGTACTGCGGGGTTTATGAGATGTGATGAACAGCCTCATGGTATGTGCTTGCATTTAAAATGCCTCGTTAATAAAGTGTAAACGCCTCAAAATTAAAACACTGGCATCTTTGTCGACTGCAACCCTCCTCCAATTAATAACACATCACATTTTCCACAATTATTTCATCAGTTTGACTGGCACTTAAAGGGACAGTTCCCCCTAAAATCAAAAATACATATTCTTCCTCGTACCTGAAGCGCTATTTAGCAATCTAGATTGTTCTGGTGCTGAAGATATCAGCCGTAGAGATGTCTGCATTCTCTCAAATATAAAGAAACAATAGATGGCAGATGCTTGTGGTGCTAAAAAATACATTTTAAAAACTCAACAGCAATGTCTCTTTCCAGAAACCATGACCCATCTACTCAAGATAATCCAGAGAACTTGTTGTGAGCAGGAGGAGCTATTCATGTAGGAGCTTTTTTTTCCTTCCAAACCCACCAACAGCATCTCTGCGCAGAAGGAAGCATGCATCTATGTACTGCTAGCTCACCTAGCACCACTGAGCTAGCTGACATTCCAGGTTGAGCGAGGAGGACATCGTTAATATTTAGGCAACATCTCATGCCCTCAAGAGCCCCTCGTTCAGGAGTAGATGCACTTTTCCTCCTGTCCTACATGAAATTGCTCTCAATAATGTCTATGGATTATCTATGGGTAGAAAAAGACTTTGCTGTTGAGTGTGCACTTTGAGCACCACAAGCTGAGTGCCATCTAGTTCCATTATATTGGAAAGAAGGCAGACATCTCTATGGCCGATATCTCCAACACTTGCAACTCACAAGAAAACAATCTAGATGGATAAATAGCACTACAGGTAAAATGAACAAATTTGTATTTTTGATTTGGGCGTGAACTGCCCCTTTAATCTCAATATGCCCTCTTCTTCAGTGGTTTATTGGCACGAGACAAGAGAATTAATACCCGCCGATTGTTTGTTTCTATGCGCCCAACTCCTAATGTTTGCATAACAGTAGTGGAAGGAATTTTCTGGAAATGTGTTTAACATGTGAGCTGAATTTAGATGGAGACTTGGGCATTGACATATGATCACCTTTCAAGTTGATATTGTAAAAGTATTAGCAGACTGTCCTCTGACAGTTACTGTACAACGTCAGCAATCATTTGGAGTCGTGTTTTTGGCCACCTGGCATTGTTAATTGTGCCTGACTGAGCAGGATTAAACACTTTTCTAAAAGGTGAGCATAAGCTTTATTAGTTTTAAGATATAAATCAGGTAGATGAGATTTCACACACAGTAGAATAGACTGGTTGCACGTTCTACTGGATTACAGTCGCTGATTCAGAAGTTAACATTCAAAAAGCTTAAAGGCTCAACTCCTGCCAGTGATCATCATGAGGACATTATAATAGGAGTAAACAGGTGTAAAGTTGAGGTGTAGGTGTAGAATAGAGTGCAGCACAACCATCGAGGCAATGCATGCACGCAGCTCGGATTACAAGCTCTGACACAAAACAGACATAATGTATAAGAGGATGTTGTTATGTAATTTTCATGCAGAAACAGTTATGTATATGTTCCAAGAATCCTCTTAGTTTCCCATTCTGCTCAACAAATTGCATCCCACCGGATGTACCAGTGCATCTTGGAGACGGAGGCTTTAATGACACAGCAGGTTTGAAGTCAAATGGATGCAGGGAGTGATTTGATGTAATTGGGTTACTTCCTTAGTGTAAAGAAGAAAACCAAGGTGATAATGGTGCCGGGGAAATGGAAGGGGAAGTCTGCTGTTGGGATGACACTGCGTCCCAGTGCACTTTAGCCACTCTTGAGTGTGAGATATTTCTACATTTACCAGAATTACTTCAAAAGTGCCCAGAGGACAAGCATGAACTTGTTGTACTGTACTGTATGTGTTGGCGCAAAGAGCAGTTGCTATGATGTGAGAAGAGAGTCATTGTTGACTTTTGGAGCATTTGTTGTCTCTCTTTTCCATAATGTAGAGCATCAGGGTAAGTGTGAAGTTGAAGACAAAACTATTTCTTTAACTCTGATGCCAAATTCTGATATTTAGCACTTATGCTTTAGATTTATTTTGTAATGTTAGTCTCTACTGTATTATTGCTAAAAGCAGCTTTGATCCAGCACCATCAAACATGATCTTGGTTGGCCTAAACTTGGTCATTTTAGTCACTCAGTGGTTCACAACCTATTACAGGAAGAATGCCATAAATACAAACTCACCGGATGATAGGCGATGCTCTTAGTAATCTTTAGGTGGGAACAATGTATTGGGTGGGTGCAAAGAGGTCTGACTCACTGGATGTAGACTGTCAGTGTTGGGGAAGCTATATTAAAACCAAAGTTTACCAAACTACTACACATTTCCCAAACTCTATCTGAATTACCCTCAAAAATATAAACTAGTTTAAAAAAGTAGTTCAACTACATCACTGAAATAATCACAATCTGAGTCTGGAATCTCATGTTGTTACGCAGAGGTACAACTAAACTGACACTGATTGAAGTGTAGGTGTGTTTGATTAGGAACTAGAGTGGGCCAGTCCTCACCTAGGCAGCCCAAGGATGTGTTATAAAGAGAGGATAGTCAGCAGTTGTTGGGGTGGAATCAGGAAATTTAAAGTATTTGATCGCAGACATCTTGGTTGCAAATCAGAGGCAATTGTAGTCAAGTAGCAGGTGATTGTCATTAAATGACACCTGTGGTCACAGGTGTGTAGCATTGCGCCATATTGTTTTGCAAAAATACATTGTTTAGAATACTATGAATATGTGGTTTGTAATTAACAACATTAACCACATGACCTAAAGTAGTTGATTAATGAAAAAGAACATAGAACTGCCACCCAACTACGGCAAATTGTAGTTCAACTAGTAACTGAATTAGCTGGGTAAGACCATCCTGATGACGTGAGCTAAGCATTCTGCTTCACTCTCTGTATCAGTCTGAACTCCAAACATTTTCAGTGGGTGGGAGTACACACCCTGACAGACAAAGTCCTTCAGCCAGTCAGCATAACAAAACACTGGGGAGCATCTTCATCACCAACAGAGCCAGATGATAAATCAAGCTTTTGCAAAATCTAGTTAGAAGATATGCAGCGAAAAATGTCTTTTCCTCTAAGAAACTGCGGGACTGCATACTCTTGTTCTTGTTTAATTGCTGTTATTGACTCCATTTCTGTAATAACTTCAGTTGTTGCTGTGTTTTCCCTACTAACATTAGAGTTAGGGCTTGTTGTTTTGGGGGCCGCCATTACCGTTCTGCAAGCTGCAGCGTGCATTTTACATCATCAACTACAACACAGTCTCAGATTGGCGGTGTGGATCCCTGATTGGCCCTGACTGGATGTTGATTTCAGGAAAGTGTTCAGGGTAACAGCCTGTTTGTTGATCTTGATGACCAAAAGGCCGCAACATCATCAAAATAAAAGAAATGCACATGGCGCCAGAGTGCAGGACACTTGTTTTCTATAAACAAGTCTATTGCCAGTGATCAGCACCTCATTATAATTCTTGATGTGCGTTCCTTTTATATTTTTAATAGGGTGGTAGCGGGGCCAGACTGATATAAAGAATGAAACAGAATGTTGAACTCACGTCATCAGGATGGTCTTAACAGGCTATAATTAAACTACATGTAGTTAACAACTCCCCAACACTGTTTCTGTGGCTATGAGCCACTTGGCAGGCTACTTTGGCCGACATTCTCCTCCCCATAAGCGACGTGCCTTTGACCGTTTCAAATCCCCTTTGCAACGGGAAACAACAACTCAGCTAAAAACCTACAAATGAAAATGGCGACTTTTGATGAAGGTTTGGAACGTGCAACAGGGCATGCCTGCTTTGTTCTTTTGGTGAATTGTGTTAAAGATCTACACCGAATAAAACCCCTCGAAAAAGCTTGTAATCCGTCTCACAGGACTCTCATGCCTAATGTCGATTTGTTTTCTGACACACTGGTCTGAGTTGATTTGTAACATCTTTTGACCCGCAAAGTAGAATGTACCAGTGACATTGACCTCCCATGATCCGTTCCATTTCACACCAGCTTCTACGATATACAAATAAAGTATTGTTATAATAATGTTCGGCTAGAGTCACATAGAGCCAGCAGATTGTCTGGGGTCGAGCTCCTCCAGAGCTAAAATACAGCCAAGCGTCACATCTAGGCACCGATTGTCAAATTATGTTTGTTTTTTCATCAGTAAAAGTCGAATCACACAGCGCCTTTATTAAATCTAATGGCTGTAGGCTTTGTGTAAGGATGTAAGGTTAGGTTGAACTTACCACACCTGGTTGAAATGAACGTGACTGATGTTGTAACTTGTGTTAAATGGCACTAAAAGAAAGTGACAGTGAATTAGCCCATGCTGTTACTTAGATAGTTTGATGAGAACTTGTGGAGAGGAGCGTAAAGCAGTTTGACAGGAGTTCAAGATCATGTAATGGAGAGATTTTTTTTACATATAATGTCAGAGGGATTTTGTTGAGCTTGATAATTGTAGTGGCTGCAATTGGTAAAATAGCAGACAGAGCAGAAGAGGAGTACAGGGTCTGACACACACACACACACACACACACACACACATGCACAGACACAGACACACACTGTTTATCAAGAACAATACTACGTTAATACCTGCAAAGAGCTGATGCTTTGATGTAGCATCAGTTAGAAGAGCAGCCCAGTTTTTGTAATCTGCCCAGCGTGTTCATTCTCCAAAACCAAAAAGCCCCACTCAGCACTTCAAACTGTGGCATCAGCATTTATCCTCTCAAGCATTCTCAGTGGACTTTCCGATTTCAGATTAGAAGCACTGGAGTCATGTCTACTCAGAGTTTTTCCTTATTTTCTGATCTCCAGAGCAATCATTTTCCATTTGCTTCTCAGTGAATACAACTAGAAATGTTTTGACAAACAACACGTTATGTGTTGCATGTTTTTCCCATAAAGCTTAACCTCTACTCTCCCTCCCCTCCCAGCTCTCCTTTGCCAGAAACTTCCATTGATCTCGCTCATCTCACTCTGTGCCAGGCTCAAACATTTCTCTTACCTTGAAACTGAAGTTCCTCAAAGTCTTTTAAAATCCACATCTGATGTCATCTTGCTGTTGTTTTATTCCTGTGGTGGGAAAGTGGCCACAGATCTTGCAGGCTTCTCTGGTCTGTTACTGGGCCAGTTAGTTCTTCTACTTAAGCTGACCATCTGTTAGTGTTAAGAAGAGCTGGGATACTCCAACAATCACTAGTGTCTTTGTTCCTGGCTCGCACAGTTTGACTATGAATTAATTTTTGTAGCTGTGGTTCTGTAATGACACTTTTATTGGCTTTTCTCAGTACCATTATTATATAACTTTTTGTGTTTTTGTGATTCTGTTTCCTTCTATTTAACATGCAATTTCCAATAGATAGATTGTTGACGTATATGTGTACTCTGATGGCGGTCCAATAGACCATAAATTGACCGAAAGCTCAACAATAATGTGATACACTGCATAGATGCAAGTGCAGAAATCTTTTCTACCAGTTTGGACTTACTGATGTTTCCAGCACCTTGCCAGGACCAAGCTGGGTAGAGCAGTGGTTGTTCTGCATCAGGGAATTCTATAAATACATTCAACCTAATCATCAGAATAAATGTTTCTGCAAATCATGAATATATTACATTTGTACGTTATTATGTAGCAGATACAACAATGCTGTAGTTAACCTGTGGTTATGTTCTGGCACAAAAACACTTAGTTATGGATGGCAAAAGATCATGTTTTAACTTAAAATATCCGGTTCTGGTGGTACAGTCCCGGCTGGAAATGCAGTGATTCCACTGTAAAAAACAACTGCTTTTTTGTGGCACCCTGACTGGAAACACCGCAATGGGTGGCTAAAAAACAACCACTCTTGTTGTTTGTTGGTCTTGAACAGTGCTCTGCAGCCTGGCAGACATCTGGTGAATGGTGGATACCACACAATCCAACATCCCCCTCACCTCCCAATAAGAAAGCCAACTCATATACTACATCTCTTTAGAAATGTTGATATGATATGTATGAAACGTACAATGCCAACATTTTCCTCTGCTGACAGGGCTGATACATTTTATGAATTGCTTCAGTGAAGTGTATTTGACTTTAATTTTTCAGTTTGCATACATATATA